ATAAGGCTTCCTGTGGCCGAGGCTGTTATTCATAGAAGTCAATTTTGCCCAAAGCCGGGATTGCTCCCAGGAGCTGTGTTCTGGGAAGGGCTGTGGGGTGGCAGAGTCCCTGGGTGGAGCAGGTGTCCCCAAGCTGGCCTAGGCTCCTGCCTGCCCACTTTTGCTCTGGGGACATGTGGCACAGGGCTCTGGGGCCGGTGCGYTCCGACCCCAAGGCAGCCCTCGCGGCCCCCAGGTGGGCCTGACAGCGACTTGTTCRTACGTGATGCCATCACCGGGCGCCYGCCCAGGCCAGGCACTGAGCCAGATGCTGGGGGACAGTCGTGTCTCGGAGAGACCAACCACAGAGTTGGCAGCTTTCTGGGGGGAGGTGAGCAGGGGCGTCATGTCAGGTGACCAGGGCCGTGGGATAAGCGGGGACAGGGAGCTCGCAAAAGGTGGCCGGGAGGACCTTTCTGAGGGGAGTGAGGCACTGGGCGTCCTGCAGGGAGCTGAGAGCAGAATGTTCCATCAGAGAGCACTGCAGCCTCGGCAGYCTCCAGGAGGAGCGGGGAGCTGGGAGGGAAGGAGGCTTGCAGGGACACGGGCTGGGCGAAAGGTTCGGAGTCAGAGGGCCACACCCCAGTAAACCCATCCAAAGTTGAAAATAAACCCATCAAAACTTAAAAATACCCTGCTCCGGCAAAGCCAGGCCTCCCGCAGCCTGTTTTACACAAAGGCTGGGCATCGAGTGGGGTTTGCTGAATACTCTACCCAGAGCCACCGCCGGGTGGGTGTGCGTCTGCATCATGGAAAAGTCAGAACTTCTACGCTGAGCCCTCCTAAGGAAGTAGGGGACCGTTTGCATCTGAGGACAAAGGCGATGAGCTCTGAAGATTCCCAGCAACTAAGGATTCCCTGCTCTCCACCCGGAGCCTTTGGTGGCGGGCACAGTTGAGCGCRATTGTGTCTCTTGGAAACTCCAAGGTGAAGGGTACGGAGCAGAGGACGTGGAGYGGGGCCTCTCCGATTATTCACACCATGGAAAAGGCCAGCTTCGTGACATCGTCTAAATGTAAGGAAGGGACAGAGGCTAACGACGAAGCCGAAACTTAGGAGTGTGTCCCACCATCATGCTGGGGGGRACAGGAAACCCCAGCAGCTGTCCCCAATGCCGTCTGATTCAGCAAGGAAGTGACTTTCGTTGATGAATGAGCGACACTCGCCAGGCACCTTCGAAACAAAAATATCAGCCCGCGATCAGGTCGCACTTCAGATTCAGCGGCAGCGAATTTACTGGGACCAGCAGGTTGGGGAGCAGCACGTTTGTCAAATCGTGGTCTAAACCGCCCACGCAGCTTGTGTGCGGTGACAGGAAGCTTCGTGGAGCCTCGCACATTTGACGAGAAAGAGTGACGTGCGTGTGGCCTTCAGACCTGTGCACCTGTGCAYACTTCATCTCAGCCAATCTGTGTAAATGCGTGTGTCTGCGTAAGAAGCCCTCCCCAGCCAGTGCTGCTGCAGGGGTCAGCAGGGAGGGGCAGTGGGACAGGGCAGCCGGGGACGCCGAGGCCAGGCAGGGCCACGGGAGAGCAAGCAGAGCTGCGTCCTGCAGCCGGATGGTGGGGACGTGTTTCAAGAACACATGGTCATTGGGACCAAGGTCAGCAAGCAGAAGACGACCAGGGACCCTGGACTTGGTGGCACCGCAGTCCTGGTGGGGGGTCAGGGAGGCGAGTGGGTAGGTTCGGAGGCAGTGGGGGCTGCCAGGGCACCCAGCTCCTGAATTTTCCCAAGAAAGGACGGGCCAGTGCGGGGGGGGGGGGCGGAGTCGGGTTTTAGGATGGGGACGTTGGCAGCCGTGGCTGTGCAGGACGTGGGGAGGGAGAAGGGACCGTGACCTTGGGGCCCTCACCCACGGAGGCCAGGTCTTGGGCAGGATGCCAGGCCATTTGTCCCTTGTTCAGGAGGGCAGTGGGGACGTGAGCTCAGGGGCAGGTGYGCTGGGTGACGAGGTGGCAGGGCTTCGGGAGGGAGGGGAGGGGTGGCCCGTGTTCCTAGGACTCAGCAGAAAGCGTCTCCAGAAAGGTGGCAGGACGGCCAGCGGTCCCATGTCCCTGGAGGTTAAGGGTCGGAGTCTGGGGGCCAYGTGGGCGCGGGCGCGGTGCCGGCGGGCGCTGGTCCACTGCGGCTCGAGTGGCAGAGGAGCGAGGGGCCAGGGCCTTGGGACCAGAGCAGGGAGTGACCACCACGGGCGAGGGACAGAGGCAGTGAAGGGCAGAGGGACCTGGCAGGGAGGGACGGGGAGAATTGGGAGGCTCGGCCGCGGTCCCAGTGCGCGGAGCCCTGGGGGGGTTGGTGCCGCAGGTGGCAGTCACAGCAGGACACCGGCAGCGCCTGCTGTTCTGGGTGACGACAGAGTGTGGGGTTCACCCATGGGGCAGCGAGGTCGGAGGGGGACAGCAGAGGTCACAGGACTGGGCAGCCAGGCTGGGGAGTGCTGTCCACGTGGCCAGGAGAGGGCAGGCTGGGGACAGGGGCATGAGCCGCCCCCTCAGGGACCAGGGCAGAGTGACAGTAGGATAGGTGGTGGCACCTAAGGTTTCAATTTGCACAGGGGGCTACGGACGAGGGAAAGAAGCCATCTGGGAGGGGACARGGAGGTGGGAAGCACCCTGCCCACCGGGGCCCGGGGCCGAGGGGCCTGGAGGAGCRGCCGTGGGGACAAGGTGGCCGGGCKGTCGGGTGAAGGCCCCGGGGACTGTCCAAGGTGACCCTGTCGTGAGACCGAAAGACGTGGTTGCGCGTGGATGAGCACGAGACCTGAGACTTGGGGTCCCCGTGGGGACGGGTGGACACACAGGAAGGGCCGGGCCACCGACGGGCGTCCGGCAGCCATGGGGACCCACCTGGGCCTGGGGAGCCGATCCTGCACTCACTCCGTCTCTGCCGGGAAGCGGCCCTGTGAGCCGCCACAGCGGGACTTGTGATGTAGGACCTGTGACTCTTGTCACCATGGTCAACGGGGGCAGCTGGGACAGAGTGACCGTGGCAGGGCTGGGGGAGGATGTGATTTGGGGTGGGTTCTTGGGGTCCGGGAAGGGTGGAGGCGTAAGTAAAAGGACCCTCCAGAGGCATCTTGATGCTTAAGTGGACGTCTCTAGGGGGACCGGGCTTTGGGGGTGGCCTTGAGGCTTCAGCTCTGCCGTGGACGTGAGGGAATGACCTTCCCTCCTGGTGGCCCCCGGGGCCCAGGGCCTCCTGGAGCCTGGCAGAGGAGCCCAGCTCTCTTGTGTGCGGTGAGGAAGGACAAGCTGCGCCCCCTGAGGCCCCGCTGGCTCGACTCTCCGTGTCCTGTGGCCTGAGTACGGGGCACTCYCCTCCCCAAAGCTGAGGGCCAGGAAGGTCGCTCCCAACCCGCTGTGCTGAGGGGGCTGGCGGTACTCTGGTGCCCCAGGGCTCGGGGGTCTAGGTGGCTGGAGAGAAGTGGCACCGGGTCCTGGGTGGATCAAGTGCCCTGTCCCCAGAACCCCCTGTGGGGTCTGGGAAAGTGAGCGCCCACTCATGTGTTAAGAGGTTTACTGAGCACCTACTATGGTGCCAGGCCTGTGTTCCCAGGATGCAGCAGGGAGCGCAGAGCTGAGCTAGCCGTGGAGATGGACCCTAGCCAGGCAGGACCAGGGATCCCAGCAGGGTGAGGGGACGGRACAGTGGGGAAGAGGGTGGGGAAGGTGCAGCATTAAATGGAGTGGTGACGTCCTCGCAGGGCCCTGAAGTTTGAGAGAAGGMGCCTGGTGGGTATCTGGGGAAGAACATTGTACCTCGAGAAAACGGCCAGTGCAAAGGTCCTGAGGCAGCCCAGCCTGGCGTCTTTAGGGACCTACAGGCAGGCTGGGTGGCCAGGGCAAAGTGGGCCTTGAGGGCTGGGTGGGAGTGGTCCCTAGACCAGCTATGAGGGGTTGGGCTCCCTGGCAGCCACAACCCCCCCGCCCCGTGTCCACCCTCCTGGGTCCCTGGGCCTCATCCGCTCTCCCTCCTCTGCAGTGATGTGCCCAAGGGCRCCAAGAACTTCGACGTCTCTGGGAGCTCCAAGTTGGATATCTTTGTGGCCTACGATTCCACTCGGGTGACAGAGCCTGCGGGCAAGGCGCCCTGGCCCCTGGACACCAGTGTGGAGGTCATCGTTTCTGCAGACAAAGCCAGTGAGGACTTCAATGACCTCAAGGTAAGAGGCCATGTCCTTGGAGTGAGGGCTGAGCCCACCTCGCCTCGCCCCACCCCACCCGGGGAAGAGCTGCCCACAGCGCCATCCACGTCACCGCACGTGTCCCTGATGCAACTCCACGGCCACCAAACCTGGAGACCCCCCAGCCATGCAGCTGGGCCCTGTGGGCCCCCTAGGAGCCCCCGCCTGCCTGTCACCTCCACTTGGGACCCCCGTCACCCCCGCACACAGACCCTGCAGCCCCCCTCCCTGCGCAGCAGAAC